CGAGCGCAGCTCCAGCCCCTGCCGTCCCAAAGCAACACGTAGCTGGGGACAGAAGGGCTCTGCCCCTTTCCCCTCTCCTGTCCCGTCACCGCCGCGGTTCAAACCGATCTTAGAGATAAGACGCGTTGTTTTGCTAGCTAAGCTAAAATAATGAAGCTTCTTCTCTATGCTATGCAATCCTTGCTATTTTACTAAGCTGAAATAGTGCCATTAGCGAAGCTATTCCTTATACTCTCAGCTTTAACTGTTCAATTCGCGTTCTGGATTTACTTCTCGTTATCACTGTTCCGTGCTGTGCGCTGGACGGGGCCGCCCCGTCGGGGCGCGGGATGGAAGCAGCTCCCCCCGCTCGGGAGCAGCCGCGGCAAGCCCAGGCAGGGAAAGCTTGGAATATTTTATCGTCGCGTTTCCTTCCCGTGGGCGCTGGGCACGGCCCCCGCCGAGGAAGGGGCAGCGAGGGCACAGCCAAGTTCCTGGGAGAGAGAAAGAGTCTGGCTGCGAGGTGGGGAAAAAAAAAATGGAAAAGAGAAAATAAATCCCTCCGCAGCCAGTGCACAGCTCCTAAGCAACTTGGCTAGTTGGCTGTGGGTTGCCTTAAAGGTTTCGGGTCAGTCGCGAATGGGAAAACCGAGCGATGCCGAATGAATTTGAATCTGTCGGAGTATATGTAGTGGTATGTAGGGCACTGGCTGAGCAGCGGGTTCGGATAATGAAACCGCAGCTGGGTGGAGAACACCAACCCCTGGCAGAGATCTGTATGTGAAAGGCACAGCCAGCCTCGAGCGTTTCAGATGTGTTGGAGAGGGGAGGGAGCCGGAGGGACAGAGGGGTGTTCTCCGCTCACTTGGTTCTTCTCCTGCCGCTTGTGGTCTCAGGCTCCTTAGCGCCCGAGGGATGAGTTGGCATCCTCCTGCCTCTGTGGGAAGGTGGGAGATGCAGCCTCTAACTCCACTAGTAGGACAGCCGAACAGGAGCGACCTGTGCTGCCTGCAAAACGAGGCATAGCCACACTACGTGATAGGAGAGGGAAATCTGAATGGTGTTTCTACTGGGAGGAGAAAGTAATTAAATAGTTTACACTGGTGTATATTACATAGATGGTGACCATCCTTTGCTGATCAGGCTTAAGTACTCAGATCAATCTTCAAAACTGCATTAAAACAGGTTTTGAAGATTTCATTGCATATCTTATTGCTGGTCATATTTCAATAGGATATATAGAACCTGAGCTGTAGAGGAGCTTCACATTCTTCTGTGCAGACTTCTGTCAAGTATTTTACATGATTATTAAATCTCCTTTGTGGGAAAAATGGACATATTTTCTAAATAGTAGAAGTTCCTTATTGTTATTATCAAGACTCTAAAATAGTCTGCTCTGTTTGTGCAGAAATAGATTTGTAGGTGCATAATTATGTGCATTTGTGATGCTCATAATATTTTGGCTATTTTTTTGTGTGTATGTTATGATGAGGTTGTTATATACAACAGTCCTCTAATTCACATCAGTATTCCAAATTAATCCCTGGTGTAATACCACTGATTTATGTGGAATAATGCCAGGCATGAATTGGATGTTGTACCTTATGATTTCTGTTTTGATTTTTAGTCTTCCAGCTTCTGATGTTGTGAAAAGTAAACCAGTTAGTTAATTACTTAAATTGCTACAGTTAACTGAAAATTTAGGTTTTTTCTTAATGGTTTTGGGTGGTTTTTTTCTTAACATCTGAGTGCAAAAAATGGCTGAGATAAAAGTAGGCTGAAAAGATGTCGAGCGGATTTTAATTTTGGTTGCTTGTTATGCCTTTAGAAACCTTTTTGTATAGTGACTTTATACATTGTTGTATGATCAGATAGTTTTTTCTGAAATGTATCAATATGGAAACAAATGGGAAGTGAAACATGCAAACCACAGTGCCTGAAGTAAATGCTTTAGGGTTTTTTGTTATTTTCTTTTTTCTTTAATCCGACTAGATGTCCAATTGATGGAAACTGTTGATGAAACAATACTTTATTATAGTAATAATTATAATAATGCCCTGGATGGATTGAGTGCTTGCTCTTGCCATGCCTGACTGCTGCACAAGAATCCAGCAAAAGGAGAGCAAACCTTCGAGGCCTTAGTGCTCTGCACCAGGAGTGAGAAGAGGGGTCAGGATTACTGGCTGTAGGCTCTCCAGCAGCATTAGCCAGGACCATGTTCCTTCCTTGCTCTCAAAGAGATCCTAATACACAAAGAGAAAAGTGGTCACTTTTGAGTTTATTCCTTGCCAAATGCCCCCATGAACGTGAGAAAGGAAGAAGTTTTGGTTGGGATGTTGCTGATTTCAAGAGCTTTGATGGAGAGTGTCCAACCCTGGACTGTGTCTTAGAGAAAAAAAAAATCAAGACAGAAGACTCTGGGGAGCCTATTCCAGTTTTGGCCAGTCCCTGAGACTTATTTCAGTGCTAGTGGAGAAGAAACCTAGTTTTATATTCCACTGGAAAAAGCCCTACCTGCATGTGCATTTGTTATTCACAGCATGAGCATCTGCAGCCAGCAACAACTGTATTAGTTGTTGGTTTGTAAGTCTGTATCAGTCACATAAACTTCGTTTCACAGTTTCTCCTGAGGACTGTGGACAATTCTGTCTCCTAGTAACATAAACAGCAAAGTGATTGGAAACATACATGAGGATATATACATTCCACCCATTTCCTTAGGTCGTAAGTAGCTGAATGAGTTTCTTACCAAGAGCTACTGAGGAGTATTTGAAGGCCTGATCCGTGGTTTGTGGAATTATTTCAGATCTGTTTCTAGTATCTCTTAAAGTTTGGTAGTTAATTTGACTTGAAATGACCATCTATCACTTTTCTAATACAGTGGAAATCACTTTATATTCTTAAACATTCCAGCAGATCAAATTCACCTGGGGTACTGCATATATATTTAAGAAATGTATGAACTGCTTAATATCTAGGGATGGATTAATTGTTGCAGACTAATTCTGATTTAAGAACCAGAGTTTGTTTGAATCTGCTTACCAGGAAATAATGCTTCAGCCTTTGGCAACAAGTCCTGACAAATGCAAAACCAGAATTTCCTTCTTAGTATGTATAAATCCTATACAAAAGCACTAGGCTCGTTGCTCCCAGTGGTGTGCAAGCTGTCATGTATGCAGTGACAGCTTCATTTGTCTACACACGAGTTTACCCTGCATCGATGGCTTAGTTCTGAAAAGTGCTCACAGATGTGTTCCACATGTCCATTACAAATCTTGTCTGTTAATGGTCAAGAAAAGGAGCAAGTTTTAGATGGTAATGAAAAGGCTCTATCTGAGTGTACCACAAATTTTCCTTTATTTTTTAACATTTGTTTGGTTTTGGTGCCATGCTATTAATGCCCTCACCTTAGTATACATGAGGATGACTTGGGCCAGTTAGCATAACATGAAATACATATGGAGCTTGGGAAAGAGGCCCAAACTCTTGCTGCTTAGTTTCAAGCTGCCATAGAGGATGATGAGTTAATTACCTGCTGGTGCTCAATAGGTGATGGTCTTCAAAAAAAGTGCTTCTAATTGGAGACAGGAGACCTTGCTTCACTAGGCTGCAGGCACTGTAATGTTCCTTCTGTTAGCTGGCCTTTTTGTGAGAAAAGGGTGTGATTTGTGTGTTCAGGCTGGTTTTTTGTGGTTCACTGTATCTCATGGTATTGTTGTGTGATGCAAGATTGCCTGTGCATGCTATTACTATTTTTTCTTCTGTAGAATCTAATTGGTCTTAATGGATTTTACATTTAACATCTGCTATGCAATCTGACTTATGGGTGTTGAGAGCATTGTGCTCAGCTGGAAGCTTTCTGTGCTGAACTGACGTCTTCATTGTAAGAAGAAGGCAGAGGTATTTCCTGAATACTTTGAGATGCTTTCTATGTTGACACTCCTGTTTCACATGTGACAGTTTCTGTTTCCCTGTCTCTTGTTGTTTGTTTGTAACAGGTGACATTTGCATGAATTTATGCTGCTTATTTTCCACTTGAAGTCACAGCACTCTGAGATTATATTGGCTGCTGTGGAAATTGTCATAAACAAGCGATAATAATTTTGTAAGCAGTGGGAAATAAGCAGTTGGAAGCAATGAAGTTTTAGGAGACGGTGTGGTATTTAGGAAAAACAAAATCCAAAACTCAAACCAACCCCTCCAAAAAACCCACCCAACAACAAAACCCAACCAGCATTGTGTCTCATAAAAAGGAGGAGAAAGCAGAAGGTGACACTTGAAACATAGAGAACAAAGTGAATAAAATATTTTGAGGTATTAGTTGCTCTGTGAATGCCAAATACAGTTCACCATCCCACTGGGATTGTGAGGGGATGGTGGGTCAGCAGGTAACCCTAAACTGCTCTTCTGAGACCAGAGTGGTGGCAGAGCCAATCTGCAGGTGGTTGTTGTGACCATGCCAAGCTGCTGTCCATCCATCACTGCTTATCTGGTGGAGTTTTTACTATGTGGAGTGTGTCTGTGCTGGTTTTTATTTTAGTATGGAATGAATATATCTGAGACATGCCAGGCTGAGGAGAAAAAGGAGACCAAGACAAAAGTAAAACAAGGGTATCGCTTCTCTGTGGCACATTCAGATAAAGTTGGAGAATTTACTTTGAGCCTAAACCAGAGCCTCAAAAATTAGAGTACAAAGTTTTGGTGGTACAGAATGGCAGGAATCAGTATCTCAAGCACAATGTAGTAAAGTTTCAGATTTCTGACAGTATCAAGATCTAGGAATGTTGTTTCTGACAGGACTATTGAGCAAAGGCCTTTATAGAGATATTTCGTAGGCAGTCTTCTGGCTTTGGAAAACTAACATCAAACTTAAGGGTATTCTGCTTTATCATTCCAGCTCAACTCTAATACAGCTTAAAAATAGATTATAGTCTGCTCTCTATTTTGTTATTCTTCCAAAATGTATGTCCCTGAACG